GCTGCTGGCTTCCCCATGTCACCCTTCCCCCTCTTACCACTTGCTGCTTAAGCAGAGATCCCTTCCTCTTCTCTCCCACAGCACGGACCTAGCTAGCATGTGGTATGCTAGCTAATGCTGTGTAAGGCAGATACGACAGTGTAGATTTAGGGCTTTTTAGAGCTAATCAACAGCTCAGCTGGTAATATACCTGCATTCCTTCCTTTGGAAAAAACTGTTTAAGAGAGCTTGAACTAATGACCAAGGCTTTGTTTTTCTGATGGGGTGGTAAATGCTGATAACACAGCTGATAAATGCACTATTATCAGGAAAGGGGAAGAACCCCTCCTTAATCACAGTGTCGTGCCGGGGTCTGGCCATGCCCCCCTCAGCTCAGCCCAGTGCTCTAGCATTCTCCGACTTCTAGCCTGAGCCACTGCAGGCATGTGCCAGCATTTTTTTCAGTCCAGGGGGATGTCTGTACAGTTACAAAGTGATTTAGCCTAGCCAGGTTAGACTAACCTGCAAAGATTGAATCAATTCAGGCTCAGGCTTTTTGAATATCTGTCCCTAACCTAAAAGTTTGATTTCAATTCATTTTAACGGAAATATTCAGATTTGGACTGACCCAACTCAAAACTAAATATTTTGGTTTTGTTTTCCCCAACAGAAATGAAAAAACCTAACCAAATTTAAAATTTTCCTGCTTATAGGATTGATTTTAATAATTATGAGAGAAAGTTCTTGACCAGGTCTAATTTCACCCTTTCTAATTTAAAATTGTTTAGGGTTAATTGCTTGGATAAGTCACAGGAGCAAGGCAGGAATGAGTCTGGGGTGTTGAGAGTTATAGTCCAGTCCCTGATTTTTTCATTGCTCTTAGGCAGCAGTTCCCAACCTGTGGTATGGGTACCACCAGTGGTACCTAAGGTTCTGTTGTTTTAAATTGGTAGTGTGCAACGTGTCAGAGTTCAGGAACCACTGCTCTAAGGAGAAGCAAGCTGCATTGTTTCTTTTGCTGAAAAGCCTACTTTCCCTTTTTGAAGTGGCCTCAGTGTTCTAGCTGGTGCCCTTGAAGGTGGGAAAGGCTAAGCTCTGCCTATCCCTTGCCTCTGTTTAACCACATAGATGTGAATCAGGAAGTGGGAACCCCGTGGTTACTCTTTGCACTGAGCAGGACTTAGTCAGGTGAGCAGCTTGGGCAGATGCAAGGCGATTCTTTACTCCCAGTCTGTGATAATTTCACCAATGTTAACATATCACCTCTGATGGCATCATTTTGCTGACCTTATGAGCAGACATCCTGTAACTTAACAAATGCATGCTCTAGTTAGAATGTACTGTGAAAATAACATCTTATACTTTCCCACCAGTATAAGGTGAGGTGCAAGTGTGTACAGTAAGCAATTAAGACAGAGGGCCAACATTTCTAGTTTACATTGCGTATATATTTTCATACTCTAGAACTAGAGTGTCTCTTTCACTGGGTCCACACTCCTTAGAGTTTCAGTGTACTTTTTGTAATAATTCTTTAAAATTGTTAAACAGATCTAGTAAATTAATTTTCAGCATTTGTTGACAACTAGTAACTAATTAATTTGTTATAAAAAGGAAGTATTATGTTTTAAAGTAAACATTGGCATAATTTATTTTCCTCTCCTAAAGCTTCACTGGGTTTTTCAGTTGACATACAGACATGTTGTCAGGATAGTATCATGATGTAGAGAGTGTTTTGTAGTTCACATCTAGGTATTGAGAGAACTGAATGCGTCATTGACATTAAAGTATTGGAACCTAAGTGGCCAGTTTCTGAATAAATGTTAATTCATATGGCTGATCAAAAAAGAGGAAACAATTGATGTAAATACATGACAAAAAAGTGCATGGAGCAGTGAGGGCGGGGGTGTGTGGGAAGGGATGGGAAAGAGAAAGCATGAGAGCCCTGGAGCTATGTTAAAAGGACATCAACACAGCTTCAGTGTACTGTAGGACATGAATTACAGGCTTCTGGGGATACATTTACTGTGGATAAAATACCAGCAGGTGCCTTTTATCCTTGAGGTCTGATGTATAAAAGCTTAATGGCATATGAGTCCAAATCCAAAAAGGATTTAGGTGCTTTCAAGATTGGCTTCAAAACACCTACATTGTTTCTGTCTGGCTCCAAAAGGAATCCAGAGCTATGTGCCTAGTCTCTCTTTATGGAACATGGGAAGAATTAGACAGTTCAGAAGGAGAACACAGAAAGCCCATAGGTTGGACAAGGAGCCACCAACACCTAGCAAATAGGAAACACTAAGCACAGCGATCTATCTGAACTCTAACCCCTCTCTATAACTTGGGTTCCTGACTCAAGACTGCAAAAGAGGTGCTTTATCCAACTGATCCAAAGCCTGGAACTTAACCATAGGGGTAGGTACTAGGGGTGTGTGAAATGGGCCATATTCAATTTGGATTTGGCCTGAATTAGGGACAGCGATTTGATTAATTGATTTGGATCACTGTCCCCAATTCGATTCGGCCAAATCTGAATCTGAAGATTGGATGCTGATTCGGCCATAGACACAGCTTTAAATGTTTTTTCTACATACCTCGAGGTACCAGGCATGG